TTAAACTTTTCCCCTCAAATGGTTAAAACTATCTAGGGGTTAATCTCTTGTAAGAATTAAAACTTCATCCCTCTGTTTATTATGAAGTTCTGGGGTTAATCTCTGCTGGTAGTTTAAAATTTTCCCCTCAAATGGTTAAAACTATCTAGGGGTTAATCTCTTGTAAGAATTGAAACTTTATCCCTCTGTTTATTATGAAGTTCTGGGGTTAATCTCTGCTGGTAGTTTAAACTTTGCCTCCCCTTAGTTAGAAGCTATTTGTTTTTATGAACGAATATTTCAAGTCGAATTGTTCGGTTTAAAGTGATAATTGAATATGTTTTAAGTTTAATTCTAGCGTGACATTAAACAAAATCCATATGCAATTCGGTTGGAATTAATTAACAGCTGTACACGTGGTTTTCTTATACCAAGCGATTAACATGTGCACGCTCGTATGGGTTTAAATATGAATGCAGTTACATTCTTTACAAACAGCAGCGCATCTTCCCTCGTAAACACTTAAATTTCCCCCCTTTTATTGTGGCAGTACTTAACTTAAACGAGAACAATATAGTTACTATAGCCAAGTCCGACAGACAAGAACGGAATACCGCAGAATAATTTAAATATTATGCAAATATAAGTCTAAGGATTGATAAGAACTAAGAGAAAGTTTAAACCCACCCAAAAATATCATATACGTTATGTATAGCATTAATGTCAAAACTGGATCGTTAATAATAAAACAATAAACTAGCTACACGATTACGATCCATTAGAACCCGGCTATTTTAATCACTAGGCGTTTTTCCCTGGGTATGGAATTAACAGTTGCCCCCCTATTTTTTGAAAAAGCGAACATTAATTTAAAGATTTCACGTTGTGTAATGTTCCTATATTGTTAACTTTTTTGTTTGTTTGTTGTTTAAGCGCAAAGCTACCCAATGGGATATTTGTGCTGTGCCCCTCTGATTTTTTTTGAGTTATAAGCCCTCAAACTTTCCTCTAGCCACCGGAAGGAGGGGGAGGGAGATAAGCTACACTGTTAGCAATATTAATAGTTTAAAATGTGTTTACTTGACATTGTTAGCAATATTAATAATGTAAAATGTTAAGGCTACATAAAATACAGCCAGTCGTAACACTGGATATTATTCATAGAATATTAATGTACAAGTTTCACATTGTTAGCAATATTAATAGTTTAAAATGTGTTTACTTGACATTGTTAGCAATATTAATCATTTAAAATGTGTTTACTTGACATTGTTAGCAATATTAATCATTTAAAATGTGTTTACTTGACATTGTTAGCAATATTAATAATTTAATATGTGTTTATTTGACATTGTTAGCAATATTAATCATTTAAAATGTGTTTACTTGACATTGTTAGCAATATTAATAATTTAATATGTGTTTACTTGACATTGTTAGCAATATTAATAATTTAATATGTGTTTACTTTACATTGTTAGCAATATTAATCATTTAAAATGTGTTTACTTGACATTGTTAGCAATATTAATCATTTAAAATGTGTTTACTTGACATTGTTAGCAATATTAATAATTTAATATGTGTTTACTTTACATTTTTAGCAATATTAATCATTTAAAATGTGTTACTTGACATTGTTAGCAATATTAATC